CCCCGCCTCGGGCCCGCTCCCCGCGCCCCAGCCCCCGCGCCCCGGGTGACTGAGCCCCCGCCCGCCCGCGTGTCTCCTGACGTTTCTGTTCGCAGGCTGGCCCGCGAGGCTGTACAGGACCTGGTACATCTCGGAGATAGATGTCAAAGGGCCGCAAACCTGCAAGCTAGCGAGCGTTGCGCAGTCCTCCGGAGGTGGGCATGACAGTCGCTCCGTTTCTGGGGCGCGCGTGGGGTCCTCGTTCCTCAATAAATTGGGCTTTCCTTTCCGCTCGGTTCATTTCCCCGAAAAACCCCAAACAAATGTGGAGTTGCGCGTACATCGTGCCGGTTATCGAGTGTTTTTCACTTGGTTTTCTTCGCACGCGTTTCCAGCCCTTGCGGATGGTGCCTCAGTCGGAGACGCCGATTCCGACCTGTCCCAGAGCGAGGCCGTGGGCTCGAGAGAGCTTTTTTATACAGCTGAGTTGTAAGCGCTTGAAAATTGGAAGTTGAAAGTGCTGACGCACGGTCTTCAGAAGACCCAAACCGAATCTATTGCAATCACTTTGGCCCGCCGTGCTCGGGAGACTCGGGACCGCATGGTCTGAATTTTGCTTCGTTAAAGAGCGATCAGAGAAATCCGAGTCCGATTCCTGCAAGGCTCGCTGGCTCCTTATTTCCTTGGCCAGTTCCAGCAGCCTACGCTGATTTAGGTTGAAGCGTTGAATTAATGCTACTGTTAATTAGCATTATTACTAATAGCAACGTATAGGGGAAAAGTGGTGGTGGTGGTAGATGTTTGCACAATTAAAAAAACAAACAAACCCCAAAAACCCCTTTTCTCCCCCATTTGGCAAGCTGAGCTATGGCACTCCTGTCAGTCTCTCCAGGTTTCGGCGCTGCTTGTGACGGGAGCAGTTAGCGCCAGCCATCTGAGTGCTCGGCATGGGAGGCTCTTTCCTACTAAGTGTTCTCTCTTTATTTTTTAAACCAACGTTGACTTTCAAACAAATGAATATCTTTTTTTTGAGCAGGAGTTTTCACCATGGGGATGTGCTAGACCTGGGGCCTGACTTGAGTTTGCGTTCTGCTGGTTTTGCCCTGGTGAATCGGGCCTTGGGTACTTTCACTTTGGCAAGGGTGTTGGGGCCCCCTCGCTCCCGAGAAGCGTGACCAGTGCTCGGTTTGAGGCCCCGGGCGTGCCGGGACGAGGGTGGGCTGAAGGGGGCTGTGGTTCCACTTGGAGTGGGCTGGGCTAGCGGGCAGGCCAGGGGTCCTTCATGGCTCTCTGGCTCTTTGCAGATAGCCCGGCATCGTTTGTTCTCCAGTTGCATTTGCTATCTTGTCTATGCAGCCATGAGGACGAGCCGCCTACCTTCAAAGAAACAAAAGCGAGGGATTCTGATGTAATCCCTTGATTTGGCTGGCTGGGACCATGGGCTGGGGTCAAGGCAGTTTTTTTCTCTGGGTGTTCTTGTCGTTCTGCACTTTTTTTGGAGTGAGTGGGCAGATGGGGATGGGAAGGCCAGTGGAAAGGATTCCCGCATTGGTGTTGTCACCTTCTCAGAGCTAAGCACCTCACCTTGAGAAGCGTAGGTGGGAGCTGTGCCTGTTGCTTTCGGCTCTGTTCTGAAATGGAGCCAGGGAATGTTCCAAGGGAGAAGCCTCCAAATGGCTTGCTAAGATGCATCTGGGAGGTAGATGTAGGGTTTAGCCAGAGGCTGGGAAGCAGAGCCGGGGCATGGGCTGGGCCAGAAAATACATTTTGAGGAGCAATTACAAAGGTGGAACTTCTCGAGTGCATCATTTGGCACTGAAGTGGAGAACACCCTGTCCATCACTGGGGCCTCTGCAGGAGTTTTGCATAGTAATCAGGGTGGGGAACCACTTGCCTTAAGCATCCTTCAGCTTAAGAAGCATTACCTTAATTCTTTTTTAATAGGAGAATAGGACCTTCTTCTTTCCCAAACATAGTGAGCCTGTGGGCTTTGGTTCTTGTTGGCTAATTCCAACCTGGAGGTGTCTGTCTCTGATGTTTGCGCACTGACCTCTGTGGGAGTCCTTCTCGCTAGGCACATGGCAGATCATGGAGGGGATCGGAGTGAGGAAGAGTTGGCCCTTTGTTCATAGGATCCATGCTGCATCTTCAGAAATAGGCCTGGTAGAGGTGGATAGTTCCTCTCTGGAGCTATAGTTTCTTGGGAATGTTTTTAAATTTGCAAGCTCCAACAGTCCAGAGCAGGGTTGTCACAGTCTCCACCATGGTGATTTATTTATTTATTTTTTTCCTAGATGTATCCTCCTTCCTTGATATCGCTACAGCACTTTGCTTGATTCTTACTTTTGTAAAAAGCCCAGAGATGTACTGTGTGTCTGTGCGCTAGAGTCAATGGAGTAAGGTTCCCTTCTCGTGGTGACTTTCTGGCTTGGTGCCTTGCACTGAGGCAAGGCCAAACCCTTTACTATGTCTTTTAAGTGGCAGGGACACGCTCCCACCATACGAAGGGCAGACATTTTTCTATTTTAAAAAACCTGTTTGAGGAAGCCGGGTCTGTTTAGGGCTTAATTACAGCTCTTTTTGTGATCAGAAGTTTAACGTTTCACATTCTAATGCTTGCCTTTCTGTTTGTGTTTGGCTTTTTCCAGGCTTCAGCGAGCTAAATGGCAATGCAGGAGAAGTATCATTAAAGGGCCTGTGTGCTGACGAAACAACCAACCCAGCTTCCAGGGTACCCAATGGCAGCCAGCAACTCGCAGACACTAATGTGACCCAAAAGCAGACTGTTAAGGCCAGCACCTTTGGGAAAGCCGGAATCAAAACCAAGAACTTCATTCAGAAAAACAGCATGGACAAAAAGAATGACAAATCTTACGAGACTAAACTTAGAGAAAATCAGTCCTCTGACAAGCCAGAGGCAGTATCTATTCCAAATGGTGTTGTGACAAATAATTCTAGCTATATCACAAATGGCTATGTAAGCAAAGGAGCCGACAACGATGGCAGCGGCTCGGAGAGCGGCTATACCACCCCCAAGAAGCGGAAAGGCAGGCGCAACAGTGCCAAGGGTTGTGAGAATTTGAATCTAGTGCAGGACAAAATAATGCAACAGGAGGTCAATACCCCGCCCTTAAAACAGGAACTCGAGAGTTTCAAGCCTGACTACAATGAACAAAAGGGGAGCAGAGCGGACAATTCGAAGTCTGTCTGGAAGTACGAGGCTGGGGCCGGAGGAGCAGGCCGTGGGAAACCTGGGATCGGGGAAGTACAGCGAAAGAATTCGGATGCTAAACCTGGTATTAACAGCAAGAAGTTTGAGGACCGGCCCAAAGGGAAGCATGCGTCAGCTTCTGCATCGAAAGAGGACTCATGGACCCTGTTTAAACCACCCCCGGTGTTCCCAGTGGATAATAGCAGTGCTAAAATAGTTCCTAAAATTAGTTATGCAAGCAAAGTTAAAGAGAACCTCAACAAAGCTGCTCAGAACCCATCCACGTCTCCATCATCATCGTCGTCATCGTCTGCTGGGGAAGCCCCGGCCCAAACGTCAAGTCGGCTGTCCCAGGTCCCCATGTCTGCTATGAAATCTGTTACTTCTGCTGGCTTTTCCAACGGGCCAATCTTAGCAGGGACTGATGGGAGCGTGTATTCTCCAGGGACCCAGCCACTGCTCACAACTGCTGCTACTGCTGTCACCTCAGCCTCTCCAGAGTCAGTGCTCCAGGACATGAGTGCAACTTCGACAACTGTTGAACAGAAGAAGTCTAGCCTTTTTATCTACCCTTCAAATATGCAAACTGTGCTTTTGGGTGCAGCACAGGTAGATCTGCCATCTCAGACCAGTCAGCAAAGCCTGGGGGATATCTTCCAGAACCAGTGGGGTTTATCGTTTATAAATGAGCCCAGCGCTGGCCCGGAGACTGTCATTGGGAAATCCATGGATAATAAACTCGTGGAAGTGACATTTCAAGGGGAATATCCTGCCACTTTGGTTTCACAGTGTGCTGAGATCATTCCCTCGGGAGCTGAACAACCTGTGTTTCCTAAGGCTTATGAGCTGGATAAACGGACTAGCCCTCAAATTGTTAGTGCTGTTATAAAGCCTGGGACTGCTAGTGAGGGTGGTGACTCGGCCTTGGAGCCACATCACACAGGTGACCTGCAAAAGGCAGACACCAGTAGCCAAGGTGCTTTAGTGTTTCTCTCAAAGGACTACGAAATAGAGAATCCTCTGGCCTCTCCCACGAACAATTTGTTAGCCTCCGCCAAAGATCAGAGGTACCAGAGAGGCCTAGAAAGGAAAGATAGCTGGGGTTCTTTTGACCTGAGGGCTGCTATTGTATATCACACTAAAGGTAATGGCTTACGCGTGTTTCCTAAGGGAACTCTCTTCATTGGCTTGGAAAAATACTGTTCTATAAGTCTGTTTTCAGTTGATGGGAGCTGTGCTGTTTTAAGGGTGGCCCTCTTGTTACATTTCTTTAATAACTGTATAGCTACAAGAAGGCTGTTCTTAAAGCACCATTGCAGCGGCTTGGTTTTATTCATCGAGGTTATGTTAAAGGTCCCGTGGCCCCATCCATACCAGCGTCACGCGTATGTGATGCTGGTAGCAATAATGGTGAATGGGTGTTTTACCTTGGTTGCTGTTCTTGTGTTTGTAGCATATTGAACTCCAGCACGGTAAGTATGCCATCCCAGAGGCTCGGGCACCAGAGGGTGGAAACATTGGCAGGGGACCAGGAGGTTCCTTTTGTTTGGTGGTAGGACTGTCTTAAGTAAAGGGCCCTTGGAGTTTGCTCTGAAATTTTTCAGCTTGCCTCTTGTTGCCTCTTCTCCTTGAATTAGACAGTGAAAATTCTCCATCTTGCTTTAAAGAAAGACAGTCATTTTTCACTTGCCCCCCCCTTTTTTTCTTTTTTTTTTTTTTTTGCTGTTTGTGCTGTGGTTCCTTGTCAGAGCCCTGCTAACTGCCTCAAAGGCTGTTGCCATGAACATTGACACATGGTTATCATCCCTCTGCAAGTGCTGCTGGAATTCTCTTCTCTTGGGAGGCTAAATCCTTTTACCATGCTTCCATCTTTGTTGAGGACCTTTAGAGTCTGACTTTACGAAGCCAGGAGCGTCTTCAACGTGACTCGGATGCGCACAACTAGGCACCAAGGGAGAAAAGTGGCTAAGCAGGCCCCTCTTTGCCCTTTGCCTCTAGGTTTTGACAGGCTCGCAAGCTTCCTGTCCTGGTCTCTACTCAAGTCTTGTGGTGCTCTGGGTACCAGCTCTGCAGACCCCTGAGGGGACAGAACCAGGAAGCTAGCAGCGTGCTGTTATTTAATGAATGCCTGGGCAGTTCCTCTCTTATTCTCCCTTTCTCTCTCACTCTTCCTCTCCCTTGTCTTCCTTCCCACCTACAAGCTCCCAAAAGCCTCACAGGAAGGGTGGCTTGACCAGAGCTGCCCCTAAGTGGGTTCTTTAATGGCCTCTGCAGCAACTTGATTCATCGCAGCCGGTGGCAGAGAGGTTCCCTTTGCTAGGCTGTCCTAATTTGGGGAGAGAGCAGAAATGGTGGTGGCTTTTGCCAGGTCGTCTGCTAGCTTCAAGGCATCACACCCCAATATCTTGCACGTTGGGCAGTTGTGTTCTCCGTGGGAATAACTTGAGATTTAGCCATTTATTTTTGTCTGTGCCCTGAGGTTTTCTTTTGGTTTCCTGCGGTCCTGAAGCAGAACTCTGCACTGATCTCTTGTGTGTTAGCTTGAATGTCCCCAGCCCCTTGGAGAAAACCAGGGCTGCCAGCGGAGTTGTAAGGAAGTCTCGTCCTGCTGGGCATGGGAGGGGGGGTTCAGCAGCAGGTGCAGATTGGGTGGGTTTTAGTTTGCCTTTGCTAAATTGAATTTAAAAATCAGCTGCTTGGATCCTCTGGAAAAGAGGAGAGATTGCATTGCTCTGCAGGTCCCTTCCTAAGGAAGTGTGAACTTCAGAGCTGTCCCAGGAAAGTTTGTTTAGTTTTTTTTTGTGGTTGTTTTTTTTTGTTTTGTTTTTTGTTTTTTTGGTTTTTTTTAATACAGGCGTTAATCATGGCTGGGGTAGAAATAAACCCTGAGCTGGAATCAAAGCCTTCCTGCAGTTAGTACCTGCTGTCCTGCCCTGGCCTTTGTTTTGCGCATACACACTGTTTCTCTGTTGCCTGCTGTTTCACACCATCAAAGCAAAATCTGCCATTCTGTGGTGCTTGGGGGGGTGGGATGGGGTCAGGCCTAGCCTCTTTCCTTTCCTTTCCTTCTTCTCCTTCCTGTCTTCCCTCTTAATTTCTCTGATGCCCTATTCAAGGTTTCAGCTAGTTTCCAGTCTAGAAGACACAGTGGGCACCTGCTGCTGCTTCCACTGTTGCACCTTTCATTTTGGGAGGACAGCTGAGAACAGCCAGGGCTGCAGCTTGCTCTTCAGGACTTGCCAAAAGCCTTTGCTAGCTCGGGAAATGGAAACCAGAGTGTGTTTTCTGTGTTGCTGCTTGATGTTGCCTCTCTGGGCTTGTGGAGGGATGCCAGCAGAGTGCAGAGTAGCATTCCTGGAGCGGTACTTTATGGATCTGTGGAGTGCCTGCCACACTGCGTGCCCTCGCATCTAGCTGCACAGTGCGGTGCCCTGCTTGGAGCACTGTCCTGCAGTCAGGGTCAGGGGGGTGTGCTGGAGAGCTCTGTTGCCCATATCCACCTCTCGGTTCAGGCTGATGGTGGCGCTCTGCAAGTTCCTCCTGTTGCGCTACAATCCTGCCACAGCGCTGGAGCACAAAGCCGTGCTGCGTAGCAGGTGGAGTTGCGGAACTTGCAGGGCAGCAAAGTGATGGCAGATCCCCCACAGTTGCCAACATTTGTCTCGGGTGGAAGTTGCCGCTCTACAAACACCAGGTTTCCATGAAATCAGTGTAGGACTTGTCCAGCTGTCCCCAGTGACGAGAGGCTGAAAGCTTCTGGCCCTTGGTGTGGCCAGCAGGGTGTTTGAATGGCTGCATTTTTAATGATGCTGGATTTGATTACTGGGAGGAAATTGCACTGTTCTCTGTTCACAGGCAGGTGGACGAGGATGAACAGGTGTTGATGCCATCCCAGCCAGGTATCAGGTCCTTGTTGCCAGTGTGCAATGGGGTGAGGCAGCATCCCAAGAAATGTCTAACGGCCCCTGGTAGATGAATCCTAACACGCCAGGACCAGGCTAATTCTAGTCGTGCTCTCTGGCCATGCATGTTTCAGCCCAGGGTTTGAAAGGGCTTTGCAAAATTGGACTGAAGTAGGAAGGGCCTGCTCTTGCAGTAATGGGGGCGATGACATGCAGAGTAGCAGCTGGGATAGCCCTGGCGTCACCACGGCAAGTGTAGGTCAGTGCCCTGGTGGCTGTCGGGGTCCCTGGGGAGTGATGGGAGGAGAGCTTGCTTGCATGTATGCAGGGTGCTGTTTCCCATGGTGTTGGACCAGCACCCCAAGCAGCCTGTCTGCGCACACTCAGGTACTTAGTGGTGCTTTGTGGGGCTAGACTAGGGGACCACAAGATCCAATGCCAACTTGACCTGGATAATATGGGCCTTAGACTTTCCCCCCATATTTCCTTCAGGAGAGGGCCTTGCTGATGAGGCAGGGGTTTGCTTCCCTCCTGATTTAATTCTGGGCCCAAGCACCAGCCTGACCTACTTAAAAGGCTTTTTTTGTGCTGAGACAGACCGTGGTCCTTGCAGATCCTTTCTCTTACTAGAGCAAGATGTAGCCGGCCCAGCTACACTTCAGTAGTGGTGGAGACATCCTTGTGGCTTCAGTTCTCCCTTCAGTGGACAAAGTATTATGTTTGTATCCTGAACAGCTGTGATTTACAACCTTTTGCTGTATTAAAACAGCTGCCCTTTTCCAGGCCGCAGGTAGCTGGATTTTAGATGCCCCGTTCTGGCATGGAAAGCTCAGGGATAGGAACATCACAGGCTAAAGGAGACTTGGGTCCTGCTGTACAGGACCATGAAGGTGGTAGAGGCAGAGTGCCACTCTTGCACCTTCCTGTCCTTCCCAGCCCTGAGTTGCTCCCGGTGCTGCTGCTTTGTTCCTTGTCCGCGTCTCCACTGCGCCAGCGTCTCTGCTCGCATGGAAAATGGAGCACGGCAGCGTGGGCCAGCCAGGAGCGGCTCTTGCTAGAACAGCGAACTGGGTCAGAAGAAAGAGTCGAGCTGTGAATTCAGCATTTTTTGTCCTCTGGAAAAAGATGACTTGGTTTTTTCCCCCCCTCCTCAGTGGAGAGAGTGAGATGCCCGGTCCTTGTGTCGGGGTCCTGAGGCTGATGAGCTGATGGGGTTTGTCAGCATCTGTTTTCTTCCGGGGCTCAGGAGCCCCCAGCCTAGGGCTAGATCTGGGGTGCTGAGTCGAGACGCGGTGCACAGCTTGGTATGACCCTTCTGGTTGTGCCCTCGGTGAGGCTGGAATGTGGCATTTATTTCTTCTAGCTGGCAGGTTGGGATGGAGGGATCGAAGCTCAGACTAACTGCCACCTCCCTCTTCCTGGCTTTCCTGAGCTCTTCTCTCCAGCAGGCAATTCCCAGCTCTTATAGTATATTTAAGCGAGTAAGCACAAAACATGCTTGCTGTGTGCAAATCCACGCTGACTTGTCTGTGCTGGTGCCCTCTAGAGAGAGGCATCTCACATGCATCCTCATCCTCATAGACAATCGCAGATAGGGGTCCTGTGTATTCAAGCTAGGCCCATTTGTAAGCGGACCATGGGGGAACTGCATTGAAATCTGTCTGGGTGCTGGCATCAGTTCATTGATAGGATCAGGGCCTTGGGGCGCAGACTGTTCAATCCATAGGGTGGTCACCTGAAATTACCCAGGGTTTTCCAAAAAGGCAGTTGTGTGATGCAGCGTCTCATGGGCCATGTGGGTTTCTGCCACTGCAGACATCAAGTGCTTGCTCTTGAGATGTTGTGGAGAGCGAAGGATGCATGCATGTGTGATTGTTTCCCATTCTTAGAAAGGAGTGAATGGATTCCTGTTTAATTCTCCTTTGTATTTGAGTGTTACACCTCAACTAGTCTCCTAGCCCTTGAGAAACGGTTATAGATTATCATAACCTGTGACGTAGCCCAAAACCTGAGGGGGAAAACTTAGATTAGCTCCTAGAAGTACAGTAGACCAGTATTTGGAGGGTTACAGTTGTTGTGGGAATATTTCATCTCATGGGTTATTCTCTTGCAGCTGGCTCGGGAGAGTGTTTTTGCTCTGAAACTATGTCAGCAGATAAATAAAATGGCCAGAGAGTGCAGGGTAATTGCATGTGAGCATTGCAAACCCATCCCAGAAGAGGGGACTTTGTGCTTTGTCCTTGCTAACCCCTCCCCGGAGTTAATTCCAGGTTAATGACCATCTGACTCATATGCATATGAACCCTAATTCTGTTCCTTCTCAGCACACCAGGGCCGTAACAGTTGTAGGCTGTTCCCACCTCCTTTCCCCTGCGGCCTGACCCATTTACTGGCTACCTGTAGTCTTGGCAGGTTTCTGACTTCCAGCTCACGTGTTGTTATTATTACTACCGCTAGCATTCCAGAGCTGTCACCAGTTTGCCCGTTAGCAACCTCCCTACCCAGTTCCTGCCCCTAGTCCATTTATCACAATTACTGGCTTTACTTTCTGCAAGCAAGTATGCTTAGAGATGATCTCTTTTATTTTGAAGCAAGTGTACTTAACGCTTCTTTCCCACAGCTCTAGCGCTCAGGCTTCCAGGCCTTCAGTCATAAATTGCATCTCCATGAATACCATAAGCCACGCAATAAGTTGTTACGCGGATACCCTTGTTTCTGTTGACTAGGTTTCTAAAGGTCTGCTTCCAGGCAGTGTTGGGACTCCGTAAAAGAGGCCCGTTTCTGCTGCAGCTTCCTTCCTAACGCCCTGCACGTACATCTGTGCATGGGGCTCTCGCTTAAACAAGCATTGCTGTATTTCTGTGCTTTTATTAGGTAAACAGAAAATGTGTGCTTCAGTCCACAGACACTTGTTTCAGTTGGCTCCACCGTGCTGTGCCATTAAGTTGTATGCAGGCAAATGGCCCCGCAGTCTGGTTGGTATCTCTTCAGGCTGCCCCTGGTTCTCTATTGGCAGAAATGATTAATTCCTTGGCAGTCTTAGCAGAGTCCAGTACCAGGACGTATGGCATGCCTCAGCGCATATGCACTATGAGCTGGGAAAACTTCACCCCGGCACTTTTAATGTTGCATACAATATCTATCTCGTCCTAAGAATGAGCGCTTGGGCTGCATGTAGAGCCTTAGGCCTGGCTTCCAAGGTACATGGCAGCTACTGTACTAAACCCTGAAGTGAAGTACTGATTCGTAAGGGTGGAAATGACAGGTGACCTCTCATTTCTGATGGTGAGCCGGCTGCTTGACTTGGGCTCTGGGCCTCTTAATTGCTAGAATAGTAGAGGGGACTGTCACTATCTTTTGGACCCTGCATGCAGGAATGGGCCCTGTCTCTGGTAACTCTGACAGTTACAGCCCAGTGACCAGTCCTGGGTATCGAAACAGCAGGTTCAGATGTGTTGGTGATTGAAGCAGCATCCTGCAAAACACTAATGCTCCTGTTCTTTTCCTCCACAGAAATGGAATCTATTTGGAATTTGCAGAAGCAAGGTAAGGATTTAAGAAACAAACCAGCCACACGCAGTAGCAATGAGCTGCTCTGTTACCTGGGACTGCAGTCTCCGGGTTAAGGGCTGAGCATCGGGAAGTGGTGGCCAGGGTCAAGGTGGTTGAGAAGTAGAGCAGTGAGGCACCTGGGGCTTGGCTCGTAAATGTGCTTGCCACTGGCAGCTGCCTCTGCTGCAGTTCTCCATGCTTGGGGTCTCTGAGAATGGGGCTGCTTAGCTCTGTCATCATGAATGGGTTTCGGGGGGAGCAGGTTGCGGGGGGAAAAAAAGCCTCAAAGTCCACGGGCCAGCGTAGCAGGTTTACTACATCCAGCAAGTTTGGAATTGCTGGTGTCAGACATCACCTGAGTATCAACATTAAATTCCTGATGCATCCTCAGGTTCCAGCTGTAAAAATGAAGTTTATACGAGCTTGTGGGAAGAATGCTAATGGAGATATTGGTGCTTTTGCTGTGTTACTGCACTGATCTGACGTTGGGAGGAAGCACTTGTCTGTATGGAGTCAGTTAGGCCCTTGAATATGTTGGCTGGAGGTGCTGTTGCTTGGAGTCCCCTGGAACACTGCACAGCCTCCTTTTGTGTAGAGAAAGTCTATCAGTGACATGTCAGAGCAGAGAGGAAACTGCCTCTTAAATTGTGGCTCTCTAGCCAGAGAAAAGGAAGAGTTTTGCTAACGATTAGCCAAGTGTTTTGTGGCCCTCCTTGTCCACGAGTATCTTCTGCTTCCAAACCTGCAAGTGGTTTAATTAATGCCAAATTTTAATTTTTGTTTTCAGATCCCAAAAGGATAATCACTTACGATGAAGCCATGGATCGTCCAGATCAATGAAGGTAGCAGGACAAGACTGCCTGTTATAACCTTTATGCGGCACTAGTGCTGTTCACAGGGGACAAAAGGCTTTTATGCTCCTTCTAAATCTTCAGTGCAGCAGAGGAATCATAACTAGAATCACAGGATAATATATACAAATATATATATAGTTATTTAAAAAAAATGGCGACTGAAAGTAATTAGACTTCTTAAGGAATCTGAAAATTTATTTCAGCAGACTACACACGTGATTATTTAATCTCCGGTACTGAATAGTTTTGTTTTTTTTTTGGTTCCATTTTTCTTTTCCTTGGGGTTTTTATTTTTCCGTTTCGTTTTCTTTTTGTTTAAAGAGTGAATGCAAGGGATTAACGAACACAGACTCAAGTCACAAGCCTGGTTCTAAAGTTCCTGCTGTCGTCAACAAGGACAACAGTGACCTGCTGGGAGGCATTTCCACTTGATGAGGTTTCTGTTTCTTGTTCTGTGACTGTAGAGATACACTAATCACAGGGAAATCGGGATGATGTACCATCCTCCATCTCCCCTGCTCCCCTCCACTTCCCCCTTTATTTTCCCTTTTTTTCTTTTTTTTTTTTTTTTGGTTTTATTTTGAGCCCTGCGAGAATGCTGGAGAAACGCCTTGAAGCTTGCAGGGTTTTTTGTTTCCAGAGAATATAATCCACATGTCTTGTCAGGAGTAAAGCAGCCAATCACGTGCTGAGAAAATTGTCTTAAAACATCATCCTTCTAGGGGAAAGCTTGTAATACTGTAATTCTGGGATACACGTTGATCTTAAAGGCTCCGGTTACACGTTGGACTATTACAACTGAAAAGCTCTCTCTCATGAGTGTCATTTTAAAAGACAACATGCAAAATAAGCAATTGGTTTAGGCATTTAATATGGAAAAAGAAAAAAAAAACCCTGTTCCCACACTTTTATGCCATTGTATCACTGGGAGCAAAAAAAAATTATATATATATATATCCTGCTTTCAACTGTAGGTGCTTCATATTTGCTCTGTCTGTCTCTTAACACTAAATGTGCTGGGTTTTTTTTTTCCTCTTTTCATTGAAAACCTGAAGAGAAATTGTTTGTATTCTGCTAACTTTCACCCTCCTTGAATTTATTATTTCTCTTTAGAAATTAAAAAAAAAGAAAAAAAAAGAGAAAGATTGAAAAAAAAACTCAAAAAAAATAGAAGAAAAAAAATAATTGGGAACTCAAACCCTTTCTGATTTGCCCCTAGAAAGCAATGGGTGGGGTCTGCTCTCCCACCCATTGGAAATACTCTTTTATATTTTAATGCAGTCTGTGTATTTCTGAGCTCTTTTGCTGCTTCTAATTATATCTCTATTAAAATATATTTTATTACAAGAGCAAAATGAGGGTTTAGGAATGAAAAAAATTAAAAAAAAAAAAAAAAATAAAAAGAAAAAGCCAAGAGTAGAAATGGAAGGAAGGCTTTGTGGCGAGGGCAGGGGCACAGGGCAGGAGGCAGGCTCCAGTGGCGTAACGTGTATTGTCGTGCTGCCGCTTCCGTGTAGCATGTTATATAACGTGTCAGGGTCAGGCTTTGTGTTTTAAAGGTGCACAATTCCAGGGGTCCAATGCAAGACCGAGCAAGTCATCCTTCTCAAAACCAAACGTATCTTCTGGCCTCTTCAACTCCACGCATCCATCGCGCTAAAGTCTCCTGGTGTGTTCACAGCTGGCTACTAGCTAAGAAGTGGGCATTTAGGTCAACTGCAGTTAGTGTCTGGTAAAATTAGACTGGATCCCAGCGGGCATTAGGGGAAGAAGAAAACCCCATTATTTCTGCTTACCCCTTGTGCTTAGATGTATCCACCTTTTTTTTTTTTTTTAAATTAGAGGTATGTAGCATGCATATTTTAATCATTTAGTGATTTTTATTAAGGTTGTTCCTGAATGAAGCTGTTGGGTTCATAGTGGAACAAAGAAACTGAATTCTGTATGTTTTTTTTTTTTAAATGACTAGCTTTCTGCTAGGCTTAGTTTTTAAAGTATAACTATGGATTGCCTACTCCATTTTATGTGTAAAACAGCTATATATATGTATTAGACCTAATATATATATATAGTAGTAACTTATTGTATGAGTCCAGGTTCAGAAACTTGTGGTTGGCCAGTCATGGAATAGTTCTGTTTCAGCTCCAAACTGTACCGCCTCGGCAGGTGGTTGTGGTTTCGGACGTCTCTTGATACGTTTACAGATGTTCTCCCGCGTTCCTGGTTTTAACTGTGTCGCGTCTCCTGACTGCTTGCCAAAAGTTGGAATTGCTGCCAGCTCTCCCATGGGGGAGCGCCGTGGGGTTCGTGAGCCTTAACGTGTTGAACAAACTGGAAAAGGTGACCTAAAAGACGGAGGCAGAAGGAGTGTGAGGCCGATGGCAGCCCTCTGGTTTGTTTGACGGGCTTTAAGGTTCGGCTGTTACTTTATTTGCCTTGTGTAATCACTCGCCGCCTTAAGGGCTGGATTCCATTTAAACAAGCAAACAAGCTGTTGAGCTTGCCTGGGGCATCCGGCCCTGCCCAGACGCCGTTTGTGGGGCCGCTCTGGTGCAGAAGCTGAACAGCAGTAACATTTAAACTGAATCTGACCCTTAGCGTTTAGAAATCCCTGTCTTGCTGAAAAATTGAGGAAACTACTCTTAGCCTAGTCCAGTTTGTTTTTTAAATAGCAAAGTTCTCCAAGAAATGAGAGACTAAACTGTCTAAGTATTGTCCCCGCTCCTCTCACTCGCTGCCCCATCCTCTTGCCCTTTCCCTCCTTCTGCAGCGCTCTCCACCGTGTTCTCCAACATCTCACCTCTCTGACTGCTTCCCTTGAAACTTCCATTGGTTGTAAGAGTTGGATGCGAGCGGTTAGGAAACTTTCCAGCTTGTTAACAAAGGCAGTATTTCTGGGTAACAGGTTTGATAGACTTCATTGCCTAGGGACAGGCAGGACCATGGAATAAACTTTGTGCTGTTTTGTAACACGTAACCCTCTCTGTCTGTCCGCAGTCTCCTCCTGACGTCCTCACACAATTCTTTACTGAGCACTTATTAAAAATATCTTAAGATTTAATCTGTTTTCTGATTATTTTTGTGTAAGTTGCTAAAGACTGAAGTCGAGCTGTGACTAATTTAGCGCGGTGAAATACTGCTAATGTGTTACGCTGATCAGTCTCGCGAGTTTTCCTTTGACTCAGAGTATTAGTACTGTAGCATAAACCAAATACAGCCGAGAGGAGGAGCGTGGTGGCTCCCACTCTAGGGCCTGACCATGGTGTGTGTGTGAATGTGTGCGTGTGCGCGGGGTGGGGGGAGCAACGGCCGGGAGCCAAGCGGTTGCGTGTGCTGGCGTTTCCTTCGCGTTGGGAGGATGAACGCTGTATTTATTTGTGCCTGTTGCTTTCCTTACACCAAGCCAAGTGAGTTTAACACCAAACCCTGCAGGACCGGTTGTACAGGAGGGGGCACTAAAAACGGATCGGGACCGGCTTGGTTTTTAATCGCTATGAAGACACTGGGGCAGGCAAAAAGCATCTTTTGCCTTTGCATTGACTGTAGGCCCCGAGAGTCAGCCTTCTCCGCTTCCCCAGCCCCCCCAGCCTTGGCTGCCCCCCGCCAGGTGAGGTTGGATATTTATTTTAGTTGTTATTCCTGCACAAGCCAAGTGCGTGCATGCGTGCGTGTGTGTCTGTCTGCGGCGTCTTCCCTCTCCCCACCCGATGGGGGTCTGGCAGCCCTGCTCCCCTCTCCCGACAGGTTCTGTGGGGGTGCCCGGTGCACTGTCTTGCGCCCGTGAAGCCTGGGCATGCACCAAATTGAACACTTGGGAGTGGATTTCTTTTTGCTGGGCTGAAGCGTATCTTGTCCCTGCCAAGGGATGGCCTGCAAGCTGCTCTCTGCTCTCTTCCCCTTCCCTCTGATAACGGCAGTCGCTTTCCTTTCGCAGAGATGGGAATAGGTCTTTCTGCTGCCCTGGCCCGGGGTCGGGAGGTGCTGTGCTGCTGCAGGAGTCTTGACCTGTGTTGGATTTATAAACGAGCACCCAGGACTCCAGCTCCTTGTTTGGGAGCCCGTTTCCGGCTGTAGCAGCCAGTGCACGCTCTGCCCACATGTGCTCCTTTGAGGCGTGTGCCTGTAGCACAGATGGCTGCAAGGCTCAGCTCTTCTTCCAACCTCTTCTGAATTGTTAAATCCAGTCGTTTGCCTTCCCAAACTGCTGCGATGTCCCCAGTGTGCAACAGCTTTTTTTTTGGATTGGAAATGCACCCTGTAGTCAGCAGCCAGGGGATGGTGGGGAGAGCAGGCAGGAGAATGCAAAGGAAAACCTTTCTCCTTTGATAAGCGACTCCCGGGATTCATAGGCAATAAGCGCTTTCCTGCCACTGCCTTCAAAGCCTGTGACTTTGACAGGATGCGCTTTCCTCGGACACGGCGCCTTCAAGGCAATGGTAATAATAGAAACATTTCTGGACGGGAGCATGGCAAGACATTGCGACCTCCTAGTAAATGCAGAACAGCTCGTGTGTGTGGCTAGCAGTTTTCCTGGGTGTTCAGTTTTTGCTCTTTCTGGCCTGGCAATTTAATTTTAGTAAATCATAAGTGTCTGGTGCTTTCAGTAACCCTGTCGCACGGTTTTTGTGCGTGCGCGCCTGCGTGGGTGTGTTTTAGAGTCTGTCTTCATTGCACAGGCTGTTTCCAGGGGAGGAGAAAGCCAGGCTAGGTGCGATGCAAGCTGCTCCAGCAGTTCACGCGTGTGCACAAGGCAAGGTTCGCTCGGGTTGTGAGGTAGGGAGGAGATGGAGGGACTGGACAGACAGATGTCTGGCTTTGTGCCCCCAGGGGTGGGAGCCAAGCGAGCCTGTCCTCGCAGGGTAAAAGCGAACCCTGTTGAGAACTGGGGATCTGGAGTGAGGGAAGGACTAGCAGGGCTGCATCCCCTCGGTCAGACCCGCTGCCTTGCCCAGATCGTGGAGCTGCAGCAGTGTGCGCTGCGTCTTGTGCCGCCAGGGTACAGCCGGCTTCCTTGCATCCTGCTGAAAAGTTCTCCGAAGTCGCATAGCTTGCCCCCGAGGCAGTGGGTGTCCGACACGGGGCAGGGTGCCTGGTTGGTCCTTGCTCTCCGGTGTGGGCTGTGCAGGACATCGGGTTGTGAAATCAGTCTTGGTCATGGGGCAAAAGTCAGGGCCACACTAGGCCGGGGGGACTGAGCTGTGTCTCATTGACTGTTAAATCAGAAAGCTTCATTTGCGTTTGGGGTTCAAAAGCCATTTTGTAACAGAGCAGTGTCCCTTTTCTACGGCCTTATCGATGAGTATGGTATCCTTTTATTTTATTGTATTTTATTTTTTAAAGGAGTCGGCTCCATTTCCTTCTCTCTGTGGCATGAGAATTGTGTATGGAGACCAGACGAACGTTTAACCGTTGTCTGACTTGCAGTTTTCTGATCAAAGCTGTCTGCTCCCCATATGGTCTTTCCTCAGGTGCTAAACAAGGGTTCCAAAAAACGGATACTGCTTTAGAAGATTCTGCTTTATTCTTAAAATACATATTTTTTTCCTTAGGTGTTGTAAAAATTCAGTATTTTAACAAGGATTTTTTTTTTGAGTGTGTAAATAGTTCGGTTTTACCCCCTACCTTTTTGTCGAGACTCTAGCATCTAATTTTCCTTTGCTTCTTTCGAGAAGGATCCTCTTGTGACCTTGAAGACATTTCATTTAAGTGTTGCTGCATTTAAGATTTGAATCGACAACTGTTCCCGTCTTGGATTAATGCTACTGCTGCTATGAGTAACTCTGAAAACCGAGAATGTGATGCACTTTTTTTACATGACCATATAGTTCCTCTAAGGATGGTTTGATCCCTCCTGTAACACAGCCACTAATTTGAAGGGGAACCTAGCAACTGCAAGCCCGGAGAGATGCCAGGGTTTGGGAGCTGAGCGTAACTAACTGGTGCTGAACCATCTTTGAGAATTACTATGCAATGCAATGCAAGCAAAGGAAAACTGTGCTAACTTGAAAGAACACTGTGTATTTTTTTCCTACTTCCTTGCTTCGAGCCGCTGTCGGAAGGGCAGTGCGAATCTCTGAGGTCTGTAACTTTCTCTTCCTTTTTGGCTGGAGCGGGGAAGACGACCACGGGTAATCTTGGGTCAGCGGACTGTGTCCTACTCGCTTGCGCGTTCCGCTTGCTGCTTGTGCAGATACTTGGCAGGCCAATGCTGATCTCGGCAAGATCGGTTTTTGAACGCTTCGTCGCCAACAGTATCGGAAGTCACACGAGCTTCCCCCAGGGCACGGGGGAGCCCGGCTGGCCTCTGCCATGGGCATTCTCCGCCTGTTCTGCCAAGCACGTGGAGCAAGGCCTGGGGATGTCCGCTCTCTGCTGCGCCAGGGCACCGGCTCACGGCCTGGAATGGCTCGCCTCCGTCTCTTTGCCAACCCGTTCACGAGCTGAGTGCTCCCTTGCTTTGCTGAGGTAGCCCTGGCAGTCCGGAGCAAAGCTGGTTCTGAAGGAGGCAGGCGAGGGCAGAGGTGTCAGGAATTGAAGAGAACTGGACTGGCTTGACCTCTCTACTGATCAAAGACTCTTTAAGCCAAGGGGGTGTTATTTTTACGGAAGAGAGAAGGCCGGAGGGGGCACGGGCAGGGTTGAGCATGCCTGGGAGATGCAGGCCCCGTTGCCAGCAGCATGGCAGCGGGGTACCGCTGCCGGCTTCACTAGCTTCTCCAGCACCGGGGCTTTGCTGAGCAGCATTTTGCTTTTTCTCCTCTTAACGTGCCTTCTGTGGGTGAGAGATTTTTTTTCAAACAGGCTGCAGGTTGCCCAAGTCTTTTGCAAGCTGCTGGTGCCCGGGGTCAGTGGCTGGCCGCCTCGCCCATGCGCCTGGCGTTGCAAGTGCACCCCTCCCACTGTCTGCATTGGCTGCAGCGCTCCGTAACCAGCAGCTCGGCTGTTGAAACGGGAGCCTTATCTCTGAGCTGACTCTGAATAGTGGCTGTTTTACACACTGGGGGGACATCCCAGTCCTACAGCATAGCACCTTCCTCTCTTAACGTGACCTTGTGTGTGTGTGTGTGTGTGCGCGTGCGTATGAGTGTGTGAGCACGCGCACGCGTGTGTGTGACAAATTCTGGCTTGCTGCTCTTCTGTTAACACGAGGTTTTGTAACGCTTTGTCTGCAAAACGAGCGATAGTCTGGAACTGAGTTCAGGCTTTTCTGCAAAGGCTGAAAATTGTTTCCCAAGGGGCTGTTTTTCCTTCCCAGGTAGTTTCTTTTCTTTTCTTTTTTCTTTCTTTCGTTCTCTCTTTTAAAAAAAAGAAATAAATAAAAAAAGAAAAAATAAAAAAATGAAAAATTTTGTAAAGGAAAAAGACAACGCACCTTGCTTAAACAACGTTCAGAGAAATGCTTATGTTTGCCTCCAGAATATTGAACTGTGCAATTCTTGGCTTTCTCCATTCGGCACCTCTCTAGATTCACTCTCCCTGATGTGTGGTTTCTGTTCAAGTCTCTGTACTTCTGCCACTGTAAATGTGAAAGCTTGCTTGCATTACTTTTTAGAAATGCATTTTGCACACGCGGGTTTCGCTGAAGCTCCGTGAAAAGGTTAGTTCTAAGCAGATGAATAAAGCTATGCACATGTTTTGAAAGATTTTAATTTGTCTCTCATTACCAGAAGTGACTTATCTGCCCTCTTTTTTTTCTCTCTCGCATTCCTGTGCTATCATCGTGTCCGTTGGCTTTCCCATCTCCGCACGAGTCTGACCTGAGGTGACAGTTCTGTGCTAGCAGTTAGCTGTAGCAGAAACCAGGGCCTCTTCAGTTCAGTTCAGTAGCCTGGGTTGCATTTGAGAAGGAAAAGCAGCTTCGCTGGGGGAGGAGAGGGTGCCGCAGTTGGCTTTCCGGCCATGGTAGCAGGTGACCTGGTGTCCTCCTTCCTGTTGTGCAGGTTGTGACTAGGGGACAGCCGTCTGTTTGCCTGCACCAGCCCTGTGGAGGGGCTGTGGTGCAAATCCCGGTCGTGCCGGCTGCTCTTTTAGCCTGCGGCCCATCTGGTGCAACCACCTCTCGGCGAGCCCAGGGAGCACCGGCAAATTCCCGGCTGTGCCGAGACCAAACGCACCCTCTGTGGGGCTGGGCAGGTGGGGCAGGCCGCGTGCTTGTGTCGGGGAGTCTTGGTTCTTTTGACCGCTGGGCCGGGGAGGGGGACCAAGATGTGTCCTGGTGCCTTTGCTTCAGTTGTGCTAAGAGGTGGCGTGGCTGGGTGGCAGGCGCTGTCCACGAGAGCCCAGGGCCGTAGGGCAGGCAGGGCTGGATTGCCAGTAGAGGAAGGACCCGGGAGCTGCCCATCCTCTGCCCCCTTCACCTTGGCAGAGCTTAGTCCTTGTCTTGCAGGAGCGTTGCTCAGCTCAGGGCTGCTGCTTCTCCGCCGTCGCTCATACGTAGGCAGCATGGCAGCCTGCTGGGGGCTCTTGGCGTGTTTATATAGGACAGCGTAACCCCCTCCCCTGCCTGTCTCAGTGTTAGCGGCGCCCCGATGCCATGCTTCCTGGCAGTAGTGGCAGCGTCCCCTCCTGCCTGCTCTGTAGTTCTCATTTCAGCTTGGCTCCCTGGCACGTAGCCTGCCCGCGGCGCAGTCCTGTCCTGGTGGCCTGGGAGCCGCGCTACCTCGTGGGGGCAGCAGGGACAGGGCCTGGCACAGCATTGAAGGTTTTGTTTTTCTTGCCTCCTTTCCAATAACTTCAACTCAGTGAGTGTGTTTTTGAACCCAGCCGGACCCGCGGTCTGTGGCCAGGTTGCGAGAGGGGCGGCTAGCGGGCGTGGGGTCAGATCTAGGAACCCGCCGTAGCTCCGGCTAGTGCAGGCTGTCGCGGACTAAGGCTAGGTAATGTCCACGCGTTGTAATGGCATGACGTATCGTTACTGGCAATGTCATACTTCACCCTCTCTCAATGTTTAGAAAATTACCTGACTTTGGTTTTAACTCGATACTGCACCAACAGGTCTTCAGAAATTTTATCCCCAAATTTTACTATTTTATCAGGAAAAAAGAACTGAGAGAAATTTGTGTAGATCAAATTATGTTAAAGACAGACGATAAGTGATGTAAATTGTTGAATAAAAATTTTAAAGTTTGCAGGTGTCGGCATGTGCTTCTTTTCTCTTCCTCTCACCTCGAGAGCCCCTCGAAGCATGCAGCCGGGGGCAGGCGGATGGCGTAGTTGGGACTGGGTTACTCCGATGCAAGGTATGGGACAGTGCATTGTGCATCGGGGTTTGTAGTGCAGCAGTGCCCGGGTGAGAGGTGGGCCAGGCTTGGAGGTGATGGTGAGAGGTGCCTGGGGTCCAGCTGCCCTTGGCAGGAGTGTGGGTGGGGGTTAGAGGGCTCAAGCTGAGGTTGGTGATGCTCTGGGGGGCTTGGCATCCTGGATCTACCACCCTTGCATGCAGAAGGGAGAGGGGAAGGGGGTCCAGAGCCAGTTCCCAGGGGAGAGCAAAAGAAGTGGAAGGTACTCAAGCTTTGCCCAGCATCTGGCTGCTGCTAGCTACAGCTGCCGTGGGGCCACCTCCACACTGGGGTTGGCTACGCGAGGTGTCTGTGGTTGCCCAAAACCCCACGGCCGAGGTGCCGCAGCTTTTGCCTGCTTTGCCTCTGTCTGGGCTTCGCAAGGGGCTGCGCCTGCTCCCGCCAGGCTCGTGGGCGCGATGCTGAGCGCCGGGGCTGCTCAGTGGAATCCCAGGCTTGCGCTGGGTTTGTCACAGCTGCATTTAGTCCTCGCCCCGTATGCCCTTGCGGCATGGGAGAGACCGAACCCCCCGCCACGACCACCCTCAGCAGGGCTGCAATCACCACCACGCGGTGGGTCTGGGTTTCAGGCACCTTTATTGGTGGCGGCTGGGAGGGCCCCAGAGCCGTCGCGCTAGAGTACAGGAGTCGGGTCGTTGTGCTGGTTACGCGGTCGAGGGAGTGTTAGCACCAAGGGGGCCGGCGCACCAGGCTGGCCCGGCGGGAGGAAAGCAGGGAGCCCGCGTGCACGGCTGCCTACTGCTGGATGCGGCGGAGGGACTGGATCTGGAAGGTCTGGGCATGGGAGCCCCACTCTCTCCAGTGCTTGTAGTCTCCTCCGTGGTGGTCAGACTCCAGGATGTACTGGTAGCCACGATAGCCAGGGTACTGGTAGCAAACCCAGCTGCAACCGGACGGATGGACCCAGGTGTGAGGACACGGGGAACCGGGCTGCCCCAGCCCACCCCATGGGGCTAGTGCCAGGGCTGCGTGGCCTGTGAACTCCTCCCACAGCCACGAACTTTCCTGTCCCTGGTGCCGCCCAGCGTGGGGGGTCCTCCCCCTACCCCACTGCCATCCCCAGGGCTGGAGACTACCAAAGGGATGGCGAAGCTGTGCCAGGCCCTGCCTGCAGGGGTTTAACTGGAGTAAGCTCTGCTGGAAACCGCACGTGGTGGGTCTGCGTCGCCGGGGCGGCGGGCACAAGGCACTTCCCGCGAGCCTGGACTTACGCGCCGCACAGGACCTTCATGGAGCCCACTTCATTGTTGGCCCAGCCCATGGCCTGCAGCGAGGGGTAGTCGTCGCTGATCTCCCACTGCCGGCCCAGGAAGTTCTCCTTCTCGAAGATGGTGATCTTGGACTCCTTGTGGTTCTGGCCACGGGGGGCGGAGGGGAGCACGGTGAGAGGGGAGCAAGGGCAGCACCCCCCCCCACACGGCTGTGGCTTTTGGGGCTCCCCTTATTGCTACTCCTAGCATTGTGCTCTGCTCAGGGAGCTCCCAAGGCAGGCACGTGGGGGAAGGTGGGCCGAGCCAGGTCCCCAAACCTGCCGGGGCCCCAAAGCTTTTGGCAGCCGCTGGGCTGCACCTGCTTTGAGCGCTGGAAGGAGGACGGGGCCTGAGCATGCCTAGAAAACGGGGCGTGTCCCAGGGGCCTGCAACCAGGCTTCCCCTGTTTAGCCGGCAGCTGCTCAGACTTCTTTGCGGGCCCGTGGGAAGGGAGCTGGGCCCCGGGGCAGGGCAGCGCTTACCGCGGAGCAGATGGGGCGGAAGGACATGAGGCGCTCGACGTGATAGGCGTTGCTCCCGCTCCAGGCATCCCAGCGGGGGTACTCGCCCCTCTCCAGGGTGAACTGCTGCCCGCAGAAGCCCGTGTGCTCGTAGCCGATCCAGCTGCGGGGACAGAGGGGCAGGTGCCAGGGCTGGGGCAGGCAGTGCTGGTACCACGCATGGCACCACAGGGATGTGGCCCCTGCATCGTGGCTGCACAGAGCCCACTGGCATTGCACGGACTGGGGGTTCAGGCCCTGCCCAGGAGCAGCATGAAGCTGAACAGCGGTGGTTACGTTATGGGGGTAGCACTGGCATCAAGGGGGTGCACTGGACCCCCCCGGCTGCCGGTACTCACGCGCCGCAGTCCACCTTCAGGGAGCGGATGTTGTCGAAGTTGCACTCCATGATGTTGGCGCAGGAGGTGGTGAACTCCATGCGCTTGCCCTGGAAGTTTTCCTGGTCGTACAGGGTGATCTGGGAGGGAGAGTCCGTGGCCGCGTTAGCCGCCCGGTGCCCCTGGGGTGCCCGATGCTCTGCCTGCTCCAGCTTCGTCCCTCTTCCACCCCGCTCTGCCCTGCCCACGGCTGCTCCTTGCAACGTGCATGGCTTCTTCCAGCCCCCCTGCCCCGGCCCCTCGGTCGTCACCTTTCACCAGCCCGTGGCCGTGCCACCTGCAGATCTCTGAGCCCTGCCCTGCGCTGTGCGGGACCCGTGGCTGCCCCATCCGAGCCATGTTTGGGGGCCGCTGCCGTACGGGCCTGGCAGCGGCCGGGACGTACCTTCCAGGGGCCCGTCGGCACAGGCAGCGGGTTCGTCTGCGCCATCCTGGCAACTGGAGTGGAGTCTGGAAGTGGAGGAAGAGAGACGTGTGTGGCTCGGTCACCCAGTGAGCAGTGGGAGAGAGCCTGCCTGCGCCCCGCATGTGCACGCATCCGTGCATGGGGCAGACTCCTGCACGCTGCCACGTGTCCCCGGGGCGGGTAGTGCTGCTCAGCCCAGCCGGGCATGCTGCACCAGCCCACGGCTGCGGGCAGGGCTGGACAGAGCTGGCCGCCCAACCCACCCCCAGAGCCCCTGCCTGACTGACCCTGGTTGAGCCCCTGGCCTGGGGAGGCCGGCTAGACGGCATCCTCCACAGCAGGAGGCCGCTGTGGGTGACCCCGTGGTGCTCTCCTGGCTTTGCAGCCTGGTTAGCTGGCTGCAGAACAGCTGGGCTCATTAGCAAAGCCCCCCAGCCAGATGTGGTTGGCCTGTCCCTGGCATGCTGCCCCTACCCACGGCCGGAGGGCTGTTGTCTGCCCCCAGTGATGGGTGTCTCTTCCCGTTGTCCTGCCCAGGTTGAAGGTGAAGGAGCTGGGACAGCCTGGGGGGGCCGGGCGTCGTGCCTGGCTCTCGCGCCCGTCCCGTTGGGGGTGTCACAGCCCGGGAAAGCCCAAGCAGCATCCTCGGGTCCCAGGTGCTGGTGGGATGCACCCAGAGCCCAGGGGACACAGGCTTTGCGAGGCAGGAGGGAGACGGAGCCCGGCAGGGAAGGCCTGTCCGCCCACCTGCGTGTGCGGGAGAGCGGCAGAAGGAGGGAGGATGGGAGACGGGGGAGGAAGAGCTGCGAGCTGAGCCCACACTCACCTAGCTCGGTCTGCGCGGCGGGGTCTTCCATGTAACGTCTGCCTGCTGCAGCGCCCGGGCTTTTATATAGTCCCGGGGCCGGCGGGCCGGCTTTGCGGAGTTGTCAGCACAATGCTTTCTCTGCCATTGTCTCCCGCTGATCCCCGGAGATTTCGGCAGCTCAGCCCGGCGGCGGGGCCGCATTCCTCCGAAAACCCCATTGAAACAAACCGCCGGCCGCGAGCCGGGGGCTGTCTGCGTGCCTAATCTGGGGCGCGCATGACTCCGCGGTTTGGCCGCTCTGGGTCTTTCCAGCCCGACAGCAGCGCTGTCTGCAGGGCGCGGTGGGGGCTGCCTGCCGCCCCCAGAGGGGAGATGCCCAGGGCCTGCCCAGAAAGGCCCCGGCTTGGGGGGAGACCCAGCAGGTGGGATTGGAGCGTCCTGCTCAGCTCCCTCAGGCCCTGGCCAGGGCTGAGCCCCAGATTCACCCCCTTGCTGAGACATTGCTGCGAGCCTTGTCCTGCAGCTGGGGAAACCGAGGCACAGGGCAGCCGTGGGACTTGTCAGGGGAGCTGCGCAAGGTGGCAGAGCCTAGATGCGCCCACCCAGGGCACTGACCACCCACCGCATCCCCATCTGGCAAAGCGTGTCTGGGGAAAGTGGAGCGGGGGCATGTCTGCAGCCAGGCTTCACACACGTGTGTTGTGTCCCCCCCCCACCACCGCGTTGTTGTCACGGTGTGCATGCGTGTCACACACGTGGCTCTGGGACAGGCGGTGGGCACTGACGGTGCCCAGGTGCTGTGCTTGGCCTGAGCCCAGGGCTTACCCCAGTGACCCTGCACGGGCAGGAGTGTCCAGGCCCTTTGGGGAGCCCCGCGGTCTGGGCCCCTCCTGGGAGACTGGCCAGGCCTCCCCTGGCTGCAAGGCCTTTGGGGTCCGACGCAGAGGAAGCCGGGAGGGCGCCCACGGTGCTCTCCGAGGGAGCGAGGTAATGGGGCCGGGCGCGGGCGGGCCGCGGGCTCAGCGCTTCGCCGGCCAGGACACAAAGAGGCCTACGTGCCGCCTGACTGACCCTTTTGTTCCCCGCTAAGCAGCAACAGGGGACAAAACAAAGAGCCCCGTCAGCGCCGGCCCCGTGGCCCTGCCTGGGGCTCCTGGCCTGACACGGGCGCTCCTCCCCGGCGCCGCCGGGATCGCAGGTGGGGGCCCACAGGCCTCTGCTCCCCTGCCCAGAGAGCTCGGCCCCTGCCTGGAAGATGCCGCCTTCCCTCCGCGTTGCAAAGCTGCAAGCCGTGCGTGCAGGGGAGCTTCAACGCACCTGCAAGCATCAGAGCATTTCCAGGAGCCTGGCAGCTGGCGGGCGTCTCACGCACCCCCTGCTATTCCTGACTCGTCCCCGGGAGACACCTGCACCCACCCTGCACCCAGGCACCATTTCAGGGGCTAAGCAATTGAGGCCCTTCCTTCGAGCTGGACTCAGCGCGGTGACGCTGCTTTGCCCCGCTCTCGGCCTGCTCTTGCTGCGGCAGGGGCCCAGCACGTCTCCGCGCCCGCTCGTGGTCCCCGGAGAGCCGGGCCCAGGCAGGCGGCTACGCCGGGTCTCGGTGGAGGCGCCTGGAGCTGGCTCTGAGGTCAGAGGAGCGGCAGGGCCAGGGGTCAGCGGCGCTGTCCTGTGTGTGGCTGCTGCCGGGCCGACCCGCGCCCTGTGCCTGGCACAGGTGGCTGGAGCCAGGGCTGCCCGAGGGCCCGTGGCCAGGCCGGCCGGTTTCAGCGTGGGGCCGCTAGAGGGAGAGCGAATCGTGAGCACCGGAGCGGTCTGCGTGCCGGCGGCATCACGTGCGCTCCCACCCTGGGCTTTCCCCGGCTGCTTGTGGCCTGCCTGGCTGCAGAGTCTGCTGCGCAAGGCCCCCGCGCAGGGGAACCTCCTCCCCCGGGGTTCGGGGCCTGGCGGCTTCTGGCACTGGCACGGGGTGGCGGGCGGACGTGGGGGCTCCAGTGCAGGGGATGGGAGGAGGATCCAGCACTGTCTGCGGCCCCGTCGCTGTCCTGCTCCAGCCCCAAGTTGGAGCCTGCGGATGAGCAGGGGTGGGGGGAGATGAGAGGCGAGGGGTCCCCAGTGCTCCCCTGCCCGGGATCCAGCGGGGCAGCGCCCCTGGAGGCACCGTGGTGCGCGCCAACCGAGCGGCCCGGATCTCAGGGCCTGGCTCTGGCACCAACTCCCTCGGTGGCCTTGACGGAGTCACGCGCCAAGCCTCAGGGAACCCCTCAAGCCGCGGGCAGTGGCAGTAAGGGTCCGGTCCTCCGCTGCCGGAGGGCAGTCCCAGGGCCCTGGCGGGAGGGTCTGCCCCCTCAGTGAGATGCTGGGGCCTTGGTCCCGATGCTGGCCAGGGTCACGCGGGCTGTGCAGGTGAACTGTCTCCATTGCTCCCCAGGCCCTGAAACAGCCACTCCTGCTGCCATGTGCTAGAGGCCAGCGCGGGCTCGGGACCCCCTTTCCCGGTTTGGCTCCCCAGCTGCTGGCTGTTTGTGCCTGGCTGATGTGACGTGACGTGACGTGCCGGCCAAAAGGGCTGGTTTGCCCCCTCTGCGGAGGCCAGACAGGATCTGCAGGTGTCTGGCAGGTCTTGTCGGACCCGGTGAAGCCTGAGGTCAGGGCCCAGGCTCAGAGGGCCCCCCGGCGAGGCAGGGAGACCTGCTCAGGACCCGGTGCAGACGCTGTGCTGGGACCCAGGGCAGGGCCGATGCCCCTTCCCCGGAGGAGCTGCATGCGCGGCTCCCTTCCAGACCGCTCAGCCCCACGTGCCCCAGACAAAGAGCAGGCAGCATCCTCGGGATGCTGACAAAAGCAGGCAGCTGTGCGCTGCGTCACGCTCCCCTCCACCCCCTCCGGCCAGTGCCTAATCCCCCCGTTCAACACTCCCCCCACCCCGCCCATCTGGTGCAGCAGGCCCCCTTCGCTGCGCTGACCAAGCTCCTGCTCCGCTCCTTTGTCTGGCCAGCTGGGCCCAGCTGCATGGAAAGCATCCCACGGCGGGGGGGGAGGTGCTGGCGGGGGCCACATACGGGCCGCTTGCCTCGTGACGTCCCTGCAGCCTTCAGAGCTGCCCACGGCTGCATGTGTGCCAGCCCCCGGGCTGCTCAGGGGAGCGCGCCGGACGGCCCCGTGCCAAGGGTGCAGCTCGGGGGGACGCGTGCCTCTCCGCAGGGCAGCCGCGGGCCCGGGGGGTGATGGAGCTCCTCGTTGCATGCTGTGAAAGGCAAAATCCCCTGGGCCCAGGATGCACTCACAGTTGCAGCAGGAGAGCGTGGCCTGGACCTTGCGCTTTCCCCAGTAATGCCCTGGCCTCTGGCTCCGGCCACATCCGAGCCCAGACACCTGGATCCTTGCTGGGATTCTGCATGTTGCTGCCCGGACCTCCATGTGCACCGACGTCCGTCGTGTCACGCTTTGGGGGGTGGGATCCTGGTGCTGCTCAGAGCATGCGTCCCTGCCTGGCGCGGTGCTGGCATGAGCTATTCTGCCTTTCCTGGGTCATCCTCCGCTGCGGGGACCATGCAGGCTGTGACTTTCACCGGGCCCTTTCTTTCCCAGGTAGCGCGTTGTTGATTCGTGATGTCCTTCTTGCTGGAGGAGCCCGCGGGGGGGCTCCAAGTGTCACCCACAGGAGACACGTCCATGCCGCAGGCCATCAAACGGGCCCTCGGTGCCGCTGGCACGGCCTGCCCTAGCTTTGCCCTTCTCGCCATTAGGCTCCGCGACCAAGGCCAAGACGGCACCAGATGCAAACACGGGGGTGGCGGGGAGTGTTCGAGGGCAGATAAATGCAGAAGAGCGGCTGCGCTGGTGCTTTCAGCCAGGCTGCACTCCCTTCGCTCCTGGGGTGGCATGTGACCATCCAGGTGTGCTTCCTGCCTGGGCAGGCTGGCCCCGGGAGCTCCCCTCCAGGGCAGGACCAAGCTGTGCCTCTGGGCCAGAGAGCCTGGCAGGGCTTCCCTGCACTGGGGCAAAGGGCAGACGAGCTGATCTAACGGGGCTCAGTGCTTGCATCGGGGCCGTGCGACACGGTTGGCTGCGGCTCCAGCACGCTTGCAGTAACATCCCGCGTATCACAAGGACTGGACATGCTCGTGAGCGCCACAGACCCTGGTCGGGGTGGCGCCAGGGCACCAGGGACATGTCCCAGATATTCGGTGGCTCCAAGACCGTGCGGCATGTCCCATTTCCTGCCCTGTGCTCTCTGCCTGTTCCCCCAGACCGTGCCTGGGGCCGGGGCAGCTCCAGGCCGTCTGCTCGCGGGAGCCCAGAGCCGCACGGGGCTGTTACGGGGGAGACGTTGCTGTTGCTGCTGCTGCTTTTTTGCACCCACCTGGACGCCAGGCTGGGGGGCATCTGCTGCAAGGTGAGGTGTGGCACGGTCCCGCCGGCCTCACGCCTGCGCCCGAAAGCCCCTGGGCCGCCGAGATCTCTCTTGCTATCTCGGCTTCTGCCCGCAGCAGCAGGTTTTACATCATGTACCCGCTCGAACAGATCACCCGAGACCTGCTGGGGCAGCGCCAGAGCCCCCCGATCAGACCAGAGGGGCCGGCTGCCTTCCTTTGCCCTGTCTCTTGAGCGGACTTGAGCTTTGCAGCAGCAGGATGCAGGCCGTGCCCTCGTGCCCTGCTCTCGGCGGTCTCGGTGCGGAGGGAGCAGCGTGCCCGGCAGTCGTGCGACAGGGTTGTTGTGTTGCGAAGTCGGACAAGCACCAGTCGGGGGTGGTTTGGACCGGGCTGAGTCGGCCTGCAGCAGCGGCTGGATGGGACGTGACCTCTGCCCACCCCCGCCAGCCCGCCTCTTTTAGGCGCGGGGACGAAAGCAACCTCAGGCCGCAGCCCGTTTGCTTCAGAGGCAAAACAGCCCCCAAGAACAGGCCCCAGGTGACGTGCGCCATGGTGCCACCCTCGCGGGCCGCGGTCACTGTCACTGTCACGGTCACTCAGGCGCTTGCCCACGTGCCCGGGTGCCCGCGCCCCGCGCATCCCCTCCCCGTCTTCCCGCGCGGCTGCGGGCTGGCCTTCCGGGGTGCCCTGGCCTGCGGCATCTGAGCCCGGTGGTCCTGGCCCCCGGCGCGGGGGCGCCGCGAGTGGGGTCACGCCCCACCCCCGTGCGCGCG